AGACACACATACACAGGTTTTTGGAGGCATTACCAGCACCAAGTGGAAGACCCACAGTCAACTAAACCTCAGAATACCCTGGTGATACTCACGCTCCTCACCTCAGAATCAGCTCCTCACTCAGTGCCTCGCCCCAACCCACACCCAGAGTCCCACCCCAGCAATGTGGAATAGTTTTGGACCTCTCCACCTTTCACAATCTTTCTTCACGTTAGTTAGAAAGTCCTAGTGTTTCTACCTTCTAAATATCTTTCAACTCAGTCCATCTTCTTTTACTTATGCTACCACTACTGTTCCGGTCCACAGACGACTTGTGTCTTACTTGGGTCTTTTGCTTCCAGCTCATTCTTCACATGTAGCCCAAGCAGAGTTTCTAAAATGAAGAGTCACTCATACCATTTTCACCCCCATTCTTAATTATTAAAATACTTTAGTGACCTCACAGCCCTTCCTTTAAGATAATTTTTAATTCTAATCCTGGTCACTAAGATCTGTTCATCAGCTTCCAGCCGATTTTCCTCCCCCATATCTTATTCTTCCCACAAATGCTGTCTTTAGCTTCTTTCTGTTTTTCAATCAGATCTGCTTTTTATTTTCTCTGAGCTTTGGATATACTCTTCTCTCTTCTGGGACACTCTCCTTATTTCTCCCACCTTTTGTCTCCTTCTAGATAATTCTACTGGTCTTTTGGGTACCAGCTTGAGCAATTTGCTTTCTTTGGGTGATTTTCCCTGACAGATTAGTTGGGCCCCTGCTGTGTGCCATGGTGCCATTTTCTGTGCCCATTACACTAATTTTTCATTACTTGACTGGTGAAATCTTTTTAATATCTTGTTTAAAAGACTCTCCTTCCCTCTATAATGTCAGAATCATATGTTTCTTTAGTCACCTTTTTCATATCCTGAAATTAATTGATGGCTCAATTTGGGGCTTAGCTTTCTCAAATTTAAGTTGGAATATTAATGTATAGATTGACATATATGGGGAAAGTATGCAATTGCATCAGCTCTTCTGACCCCCCACTAGATAAAACTAACTTGATTTTACCAATGTTCAAGTTAATTTGTGAGAGTTATTCTATGACTAGTGTAGTGAAGACATGGACAAGCAAGTCTTAAGATGCATTATATTTTTAAAAACCACTAAACTTTTTAGCTTGTTAATCAGAAGACTTACCTCATATATCCAAATGGTTTATTTCTTTCCCCTGAGGTTACATGTTCACCAGGGGTGTCTAGAGAGTTGTTTGGATGGTGGGGAGGGTTTATAGCAGTTTTGTAACTCCTGGTCTTGCTAAAGTATCCCTGTGTCTGCTGTTCTTATGTGACTTTGGATGCTTTGGGAATGAATATCTGATAGCCTTTGTGGTTGTTCTACTCAGAGTTAAATTTTGGTGCAAGAGAGATCCTTCTCCAGAGATGAAGATATCAAAGGTCAAAGAAGGCGGGCCATACCCATCTCAGGGTGGATTTTCAAGTACTGCTGGTCATCATCCAGTCCAGTGATGTACAGCCACCAGAGCGCCCCTTGTTCTTCATTTTAAGTCTCTCCCTGTCAGTGAGTTTTATTGACCCCACTAGGGCTAAACTGTATCATTTAACAGTGGTTCTCATTTGAAAATCATTAGGAGCATTGAAAATTTTCCAATATTTAGTATTGATTGACTCAATTTGGAATTGGTTGGAATTCAGAAATTAGTCATTTTGGAAAGTTTCTCGTATATAGTCAGGGTGGAGAACCACTGAATTATGGCAAGGGATGGACCTCATTTTATTTAATAAATTGATTTATCAACCTTCTTTACTCTCTTCATACATAGACTTAAACCCTCATCTCACTCCTCCCCCTCCCAGGAAATTAAATGGCATTTCCATCCACACAGTTTCTTTCTCTATCTATCTTTCCCCCTCTTCTTCTCCCTCTCCTCCTCCTCCTCCTTCTCCTCCTCCTCCTCCTCCTCCTCCTCCTAGGTACTGGAGATTGAAACCAAGACATTGACACTGAGCTACATCCTCAGCCCTTTAATTTTTTTTTTTTTAATTTTGAAAGAGAATCTTGCTAAATGGCTATTTCCTAGGCTGGGTTTGACACACAGTTCTCAAATTAAAACCTAAGGCTCATTTTTCTTCTCTAATCTCCCCTCCTCAATGAATCTATCAGGAAGTAATGTAGACTCAACTTCTGACATATGTCTACTGCTTTTTAACGCTGTTATTTTTTTTTAAACCCAGACCATCTCTGCACCTTTCATAAACTACTGAAATTTCCTAACTGGCAGCTCATATTCCAACCCTGAATGATCCTTCACAAAGTACTTCATTTTTAAGAATGGCCTTAATTTTTAAAATAAAATATTTGAAACATTTCAATAAAAGAGATTATCTATATTTATGAAATTTTAACATCAATGATATATACTTCATATAGTTTTCCCATAAATGAGTAGAATACATTTTTATTATACAGAATTTAATTTTTTAATTGTTTTTTTAGCCAGGCATGGTGGCACACTTCGGTAATTCCAGCTATTCGGAAAGCTGAGGCAAGAGGCTTGCAAGTTTGAGGCCAGACTAGCCATTTTAGAAAGTCTGTCTCAAAATAAAAAAATAAAAAGGGCCAGGCATGTAGCTCAGTTGCAGAGTACTCCTGGGTTTGAGCCCTACTGCTGAAACAACAACAAAAACTTTATAGAATACATTTTCATTTCAGAGATTCTCACAGTGGAAAATGATAATTTTAAAAATTTTCTATTTGTAGATAGATTATTTTAGGATAAGCAACATAAATATGTTGAGGATTAAGTCTCAGTTTAAAATCTGTGATATTTTGATACATGTACAAGGGGGACCGCTTCCCTAAATGTAACTTTTCTATATTCAAATTTTTCAAACTCTTCTTTCTAGCATTTAGAAATTAGTAATGTGAGTATGGTATCAACCTTTTCTAATTTTAAAGTTTCCCCAGAACATGTAACACATCCATAGCTGGTATCAGCTGGATAAAGAAGGAGTTTTCCAAATTAAATTCTATCTTATTTTCTGCAAAGTCTTTACTATGAATTAACAGCCTTTCCCTTTTTCCTTCATTACCAGGACAAGTATAGAAGATTTTTGATCATGTATGATAGTCATAAAAGTGAATCCTCTTTAAGCGATTGGTTAATTAAAAGGCAAAAGCTCATATCTAATATTTAGCTGCACTTTGAGCCTTTTGAGAAGCTGGGAAACAATCTTATTAACTCAGCAGAATATGGAATTCATTGTCAAATTTCTTGTGTGTAATTTGAAATATGAAAAGGTCCAAGGGTTTGGGGATGGTGGGAGGAGAAGGGGAAAGGGAAGAAGGGAAAGGAAAAATTATGAGAAAGAAAAAAATGTAATCAAAGTCTGTGTAAATAAGGAAGGGTGGAGGGGGTGAAGGGTGCACAGGTAATGGGAGAAAAAATAAGAACTAAGATACATCATGTTCTGGTACAAACACCCAATGATAAATGTAAATGTATTTTATACCTAAAATGTACCAATAAATATATACATAAATAAAAAAAGAAAATAATTATGTGATTAGGCAACAAAGTTTTTCTTAACAGTGGACCAGTCAGTTGAATGGCATGACAGACCAGAGCAAAGTATTACAGTCAGTTCTTAAGGTATTAAGTCAAAAGTTCATAGCTTCCACAGCATGGCAGTGGCCTTGCAATTGCCCACATTTGAAAAATAAAGTTAAAGCCAAGTTAAAGTTAAAGCCAAGCATATCAAAGCCCTGCCCTGACCACTTCCAAGGCCTTGTGGGCAGGACTGACAATGGGTTCCATGTCAGCAGAAGTCAGCCTCCTTGGGCACCCCGGAGGACACCCCCAGAGAACCACCACCTCACTCCCACGTCGTTTTTGTAAAGAGTAAAAGTTTATCGTTAAGAGTTGAAGCCTTCTCTATACCTCTCTCTGATGCCATTTCCTCCTTTCCTCTCCACAAGTAACTACTAGTATAAAGTTAATATTTATTTCCCATGTGTATTTTTATAATTTTTCTCCATATTTGAACCCATGAATAATATTTAGTATTCTTTCTAAATATTTACTAATATTAGTGTATATTAGTTAGGCAGTTAGGGCAGAGTTTCAAATTCACTGGCTTTGGAATGTGCCCTGGGAATTGGTAGTGCACACTTCTGGGTGTGTCTGGGTGTGTCTGGGTGGGGGGCATGCCCCTGCAGTCTATGTCTGGTGCTCCCCCCTTCCTCTCTGAAGCTGTTCTGCTCTTGCTTCCTGGTCACCATGAACTAAGCAGTTTTGCTCCACCACTCCCTTTAGTATGACGTTTTTGGCTTGGAGCCAGCCATGGATAAATCTATTTAAAATGTGAGGCAAATTAAGTGCTTCCTATTTAAGTTGTGTCAAGTATTGTGTCTCAGTGACCAAAAGCTGACTAACACAGAAGTAGTATATAATTACTACTAGACTGCAGCTTGGTTTTGATACTCATATGAGTATCATGATACATGTTGCTCTACAATTCATTAAATTGTAAAGTATGGTGGCAAATCAAAAGATCATAATTTACTTATTTATTTTTTTATTGATCCACATTCAAGTGATTTTCTAATTTTTATTTTCATAATTGATGTTGCAGTGAACATTCATGTATCTCTCTTCTGTACATGTACAAAAGTGTTTCTAAATGTACACTAAGGAGTGAAAGGTGGGGTCTCAGGGCCTTAAAGACTTATCTATATTTTGCATAATGGCAGTACAATCTTAAAAATACATTATTAAAATTATTGAGCACGTATAATATGTGAAGATGAAGCAGTAAATAGAGAGACAAGATTTCTGCTGGCAGAGATCTTACATTCTATTTTGGGGGAAGAACAAGCAAATTAGTAGGATAATTTCAGAGACTTCTAATCATGCTACTATTCTCCTTTAAATTCTTTCATGGTTCTCAACTGGATTTATGAATAAATATAAATTTTTTCCAGGCCTACAAGACTTGGCAACATTAGGTCCCTGCCTCCCTCTTTCATTCTCCCTTTGGTTCCACAGGCTCTTACGTTGACCTGGAGATCTTTGGAACTAAGTATTTTCCTGCTTTAGGACTTCATATGTCCTTTCAGAAAAGTTCTTTCCATCGTTTGCCTCTCTCCCTCACCTTGCTGTTTTCTTCAGTGTCATTTACCACAGCACATGCAAGCTCCATGAAGCAGGGATGATTCTTCTTTTGTTTCCTGGTGTCTCCTAGTCTGCAGCCTGACATATAATGGCTGAATTTTTTAAAAATTAATATATTGCATTTTTCTGAAACACTGGTTGCCTACCCATTTTGATCTGGAGATTTAGTTTTGTTTGGGCTTTGATTTTTCTCTCCTTTTGGGATCTCCCCTCCTGACTGAGGGTTTAGGTAGTCTCCGTAGGTCCCCAGACCAGACGCAGGTCTATTATGGCATTTAAGGACTCTTGTCCTTGTGACATTGGAGATGTCACATACCTAGTCAGAGGGCCAGCACGTGGCCAGTTCCAATGTTCATTTGATCTTGAGACTATCACTTTGTTCACAGGCAACCTTTTTAGGCCTTCAGATAAAATCCTTAGTTCCATAGCAGTGTTGCTTTGGCTAGTATTCTAAGCCTCTTTTAACAAATGGCTATGGAATTCCCTAGAGAGGGCTTAGGGAGAAGCCTCACTTCAGCCCCTGGCTTGAAATAGCAAGCCAGATCCAGTTGATGGGCTTCCTTGGAGCAGTTTTAGGAACCAATATTTTCCCTTTCTCTCTCCTTCTCTCCCCTCCTGCATCCTCCAACATTACAACAGAGCTATCGAACATAAAAAAGTTCATATTAAGGCAAACATATGACTTAACATTGAGTTCATGTTCAATTTTCTCCAATTGTTTCTTGAAAATACCTTTTGTGGAATATTGGAAATTTCCTTTGTGGAATATTTGGATTTCAGAGCTCTTAAGTTTTCTTTAATCCAGTACAGCTCCTATAGCTTTACTTTACTTTATTTATTTATTTATTTATTTATTTATTTATTTATTTAATTTCTTACAATGTTGTCATTTTTGAAGAGTCTGGATCGATCTGCATGTTTCTTAATTTTCTTTTCCTGAATAATTAGGTTTGTGTTACACATTTAACAAGAATACTCCATGTTCTGGGGATGTTGTGTCTTTCCCATGTCATCACATCAGGAGACATTGATGTTATCCTTGTCTCATTAATGGTCATATTAAGTTTATTATTTGTTTAAGGTGGTGTCTGCTTGATCTCTTCATTGTAAGATACCTGTTACCATTGCTATTAATGAGAAATCTTCAGGTTGCACTTGAACATTATGTGAATATTGTGCTTAACAACAACTTTTACCCAAAGGTATCAGAGTTCATTGATGATCTTTTCTTGTAATCATTATTGTATCTGAAATTGAAAATTAGATATTATATAATTTTATCATTCATTCTATTTTTTTAAGCTGGCATTCTATAGAGAAACCTTTTATCTCTTCCTCACCTGACGCTTTTTGGGAGTATTTTGAAATATTACTGTGGACTCATAGATTCTTTTTTCACAGGATAATTTTAATTAGAAATAAAATAGTTGCTTTCTGAATATTTTTCATAGTGTTGCATATATTCTTTATGTATTTTTCTGGGATGATATTTCATATCCAGTTGTCTTCGTGAGAAAACATTTTAATAAATAGCATAGTGTGGGGTTCCCATGGGATACTTGTCTCCTTCTCAATTTTTATATGTTGCAGCTGAGTTTGGCATCTCTTTATTCATTTATCAGGGCTAACAATTGGTGAATTAAACATGAAGTCAAATCTATTACTAGTATTAAAAAATCTATAGGGTAGGGCTGGAGATTTAGCTCAGTGGTTCCACTGCTTGCACTGCAAGTGCAAGGACCTGAGTTCGATCCCCAGTACCAAAAAAAAAAAAAAAATCTATAGGGGAAGATTTCAAAATATCAAATACAGAATTCTACTTCTTTCTCTTCCCTGACAACAATGAACCTGCAATTAATGCTTTCTCTGTCTTCTTTTTAGGATCGAAGATTCAATGATGAAATTGACAAGCTGACAGGATACAAGACAAAATCACTGTTGTGCATGCCTATCCGAAGCAGTGATGGTGAGATTATTGGTGTGGCACAAGCAATAAATAAGATTTCTGAAGGTGCTCCATTTACTGAAGATGATGAGAAAGTAAGATGTCATGCCTTGTGTGACTTGTACTTTCCTTTTTGATCATTGATTGCTGCTCTCCCTGAAAAGGCAGGAATTATGTGAATAGCTGCTAGATTAGCCCATTCATGGATCAAAGAGCTCTTCTCATGTTATACAGAATGTAATGGGAGATGTTTTATATTTCATAGAACTGGCATAATTGAAAATAATTCCTTCATCTTTTTTAGCTTGCTTTTCATTGCGAGCCTCAGTAGCATTCTTATTTCCTGCTCTTTATCTTCCTAAGTAAGCTTTTTCCTGGAGGTCACAGCACCACCACACATGGCCCCAAGGAAGGCAGGGAATACAGGACAATCTCTGTGTTTCAGAAACGCAGCGTTTTCTCTTGTATTTTTATAACTAAAATGAGGAATTGTTTTCTTGGTTCTTATATGAAAACCTCAATAAAATGAATATTATTTCATTGTTATTCTAAATTGCTAGTAGAAAGCATATTATTTTTTCTCCCTGAAGAGCAGTTGGCCTTAGTAGAAATGATGTACTTTTTGCTCTGAAATTTTAAGTGCTTTCAATAGTAGTTTATTTCCAGCTTACATTAAAAGACTCTTCAAATAACTGAAGTTCTGGCTTTGAAGCTCATACCTTCATATTGAATAGAACAGAATCTAGCTGAATATTTATAGAATTTATAGTAAAATAAAATCTCAAATTAGTTTGCTTAAAATTAATGACTGCCATATTCTTATTTGATTAAAAAAATTTATAATTTAACCTTATGGATGTGCATTTGCTATTTTGACAGTATGAATTACTAATGCTTTAAATTAATGCAAATGTTCTGGTATGAAAGGTCAACATAAAATATGATTATATGGAAATAAGTTTTGTAAATAAAGATTGTTCTTTATTAAAGTCATTTCTATGGTGGAATTGGAACAGCCCAATTCCCAGTAAACTTTATACACTCATAGAGCATAATTGTACTCAGATGATTTCTTAGAGATTCAGTAAACCATTGCAAAGTATGATGCGCTTGGCTTGGGGTCATAGGAGGAGAAAAAGTAAGTCCCAAATGTTTTATGTCATCCAGGAACTATACAAGGTAGGAGGTAAAGAGATGTTCTAAGACATAGCTGTGGATGCTTAGGAAAGGGAGGGTTATTTTTTATTTATTTATTTATTTATTTTTAGTCGTACCAGGGATCAAACTTGGGACCTTGTGAGGAAGGATTATTCTTATTTGGTGGCTCTGAAGGCTTTCTTGAAAGTGGTAGTATTTGATCTGATCTCTGAAGCAAGTATAGGCCTCCAACATACAGAACCAGCTAAGAAAGAGAGGACATTTAGAAATGTATAAAAATGTAGCTCACCTCGTTCATGATAAAAAATATTTCCATGGAAAGTACAGATGAAGTATAATTTATGTTGTTTATGTGTCCTATGTGACAGAATCCTGAGATAGTGTGCCTCTTGTAAGGATTTTGATAGAAAAATTTGTATTTTTTTGGTTTTTCTGAACATTACAAATACATAACCACAACAGGCCCCAAACAGTTTAGTTTATACCCAGATGACAATGCTGCCTTTGGTCTGCTTCTTTTATTAAGGGAATCCATCACATATGGAGCTCTTATGTTTGATTCCATTCATACTAGGTTTGTTTTCTCTCAGTGGATTTATACGTATATGACAGGGCTCCATGAGGTCTGAAAGACTGAAAGGGAAAGTTTGTGTAGGGCTTTGTGCAGCATCAAGTTTTAGCTCTGTTAAGAACTAGAGTTTAAGCTGACTAGTGATGAGCAGCTGCGTCTGGAGACCCACTTCGCCTCAGTTTCCTCATCTGTCAGCTACATTATCTACCACTCTATGATGTGAGAATTAAATGATGTCATAGGTAAAAAATACTTTTTAAAATACAAGATATTAGGCAAGTATAAAACATAAATTTTATATTTAACATTTCCCTAAGTTTTTAAATTGTCTTTCATATTTGTCACTTCTCCCCAGGCAATTTATTTCTTCAATTCAACTCTATTTGAGTGTTTGTTTCAAATGTCCCACAGAAGTATTTTTTTCTTCCAATCTCTACACTTCTGACACCTGATTTAAAATCTTCTACTTTCACATTATGGAAGAAGCCTTACCAGTCAGGGCAGGCAGATTGTATTCATCTCAACTTCTGGACTGAGTTTTTTCCAGCAAGGACTTTATATACTGTAAATTAGGAATGGTGAAGGGGAAAAACAGAAAATAAAATATAGAAATGGTTAATGGGAAAGAATAAAATTTAGCTACTTCTCCCCAATATGAGAAGACAACATGGTGTAATGGCTGCACAGTGAGTCTATCTGGTTGAAATCCCATTTCTGCCATGGTCTGTGTCAACTTGGGCAAATTCCTTTGCTTCTCTGTGCCCCAGTTTCCTCCTCTCAGAGGAGGGATGGTAGTAATAACACTTTATGGGGGTGTGGGGAGATTATATGAGAGAACACAGCGAGAGAATTCGGAAGAGCAGCTAGCACAAGGTAGGTCCTTATAAAAGATAACCCTTTGCTGATAGCTCAGTAACACACGTGGGGCACAGGCAGGTCTCAGTGAAAAAAATTACCTTTATAAAACTTAAGCCTATACATTTTTATGAAGTGGAACTTCTGTGTTGCTGAAGACCTGGAGAGGCTCAGAGAGGGAACAGAAGCTCTGCACCCTTCCCTCATTGCTCTTATCTCTTCCATCCAGCTGTTCCTGAGTTGCATCCTTTTGTAATAAATGTATAACCAAATAGTGAGAGATTGGATATAGAAACGGACAGTGGACATACATGATGATAAAAGTCAGACCCACACTTTCTTCAGCAGCCAGGCCAAAAGTTAAATCACAGTCTTGGCAGCAATCAGCCCAGAACAGTCAGGATCTGGTCAGTGACTGCCAGCTTTCTTTATTTTGCCCCATCTCTCCCATCAGCGCTGCACGCTTCCAACTCACGACCAAGGAGAGAAAGCCAAATATTTTTTTTGAACCAAAATTACCTAAAATGGCCTACTTCCTGTTAGCTGGTCTTCTGCTGCACCATGCCAGCAACCTCTAACCAGTGCACACCTAAACTCTTCTCCGTGTTTTCCCATAAAACTTTCTCCCTTTACTTTGAGTTTCCCAACCACAAGTGACAGTGTCTGACGTCCTTGTTATAGCAAGATTTGTGTATATGATCTCAGTTGCTTCTATTTAAAGGTTTTCGCTAAAAACAACCTATATGTCAGGTACCATTCTGGTGTTGGGGTTTCAAAATTGAAAAGGAGGATATACTTTTTATAAATTCACAATTGTCACATTATTAGTAATACTTATACTGTGTTACTTGGTTGTACAAGTTTATACTAACTTGTGTTCTAGTTTCAAACATAAAGTTACCACATAACTTATGTTCACATATGAGTGTATTCTACATTTGTCATTTGGGAGAATTATAAAGTTTTCCTCTTTTCTTTTTCTACTAGCCTAGTTTGCTTTGTCATTGTTCTATTACTGGGAATTTTGGTTGTTTCCAGTTTTTCACTACTACACATAGCCCCTGAATGAAAATCTTGAACAAATTACCTTTTTCTTTTTGTTATTTCCTTGGGGCATAGTCCAAAGTTTGAAATTACTGAGTCAAAGGGCAAGAAAAATTTTATAGCTCTCATTCCCTGTTATCAGATAGCTTTCAGAAATATTAAATCCATTTACAATCTTAACAGCATGCATATACATATTTTCTCAGACCTTGTCAAGTTTCTTTGATTCATATTTGAAAACTCACATTAGTTTTCCGTAGTCTTCTAACCAGGCTTCAGACAACCTGCTCTCATATCGAGGGTATAATCTCCAGCCACAGGTATAATTTCTGTATTGCCTACAAGTAAGGGAACCAGGAAGCAAAAGGAAGCCTTGATGTGCGCTGGGTGAAAGGCTCTGGAATCTGAAAGTCCCCAGGGCAGGTGGTAATTTGCTTTGCTATATTTTAGCTGCATGACCTTGAGCAAGTTGCTGAATCACTTTGAGCCCTACAACCTTCCTCACAGAGTTATTGTTAGGAGTGAAATAGATAACAGGTGCAAAATGCTTAGAATAGTGCTTATCAATAAAAAAGCCTCAAGAAATCGTGTCATATCTTTAAGTCAAAGAGAAATCACTTGAACCCTATTTGACATTTCACTTTGTATACCTAACTGCCATGTCATCATTCATATGGGTAATGGAGAATTTATTGCACATCTAGCCTAAAATAATTTGCATGTCCTTGAATCTTAAATTTTAACTTCTAGAGACTAAAAATTATATATGGTATAATTTATAAAACATTTAGCAATATGCAAATCAGTGAATTATTTTCCTGAGATAAATTAAAAGTTACATGTGTTACATTCATTTGGGGTTATTCACGTATCTAACATAATTGTGCATAAGAATATATTTGTTTTTTGAAAGTTCTATACCTGTGGTTCAGTAGCTGTTTGGAATCATGTAGTAGATGTTGAAAGAAACTGGAAAAATCATCAATTCATTCTCCATCACTGCTGCTCTCATCTGATACAGGGATCTTTCAGCTTCTTCCTGAAATTTTTTCCTTTTATGACTTTAAAAATCAAAGTACTCATTAAAGTTCTTGGATAATCAGCCAAAATTTTATCAGCAGTGGTGAGATTTTTGTGTGAAATATAGACTCCCATATGCACATATTAATAATTTAAGTTCCATACTGAAAAATTACTTGCTTGTTAACTCACACTGGAGTACACATAAAGGCAGACCATGTAGAAGAGATTACTGGAATTTTCTGGTTCACTTCATGGGTTTCAAGCAAATGGTTCTTTTTTCATTGGTACATATAAGGTAGTTGTTTTAGGTGCTCTGGATAGAGCTCTTGCATCCAATTAACTTATTTATTATTCCTGGGTAGGTAAAGCAAGGTATTAAACAGGAGCAAACATTTGTGATCTATTAAAATGTATAGGCACGCCAACATGAAAGCTGGGACATGG